GAGGATCGAACCCGGGCCGCACGCATGCCAGGCGAGCTCGCTACCGCTTGAGCCACATCCCCAGCCCCGAGACAGGGTCTTTCTAAGTTGCTGAAGCTGGCAGTGAACTTGTGATCCTCCTGCCTTAGCTTCCAGAATTGCTTAAATGACAGGAGTGGACACTGCACCTGGCTGCTGAGTACTTTCTTTTAGTTGTCGATGGGCATTTATTTATTTATTTATGTGTTGCTGAGGCTCAAAACCAGTGCCTCACACATGCTGGGCAAGCGCTCTGCCACCAAGCCCCAGCCCCAGCTCTGGCTGCTGACTACTTTTAACTGTAACTCAGTCAACACACGAGGCTGTGATGACACTTCTTTGCCCATGCTCTCACTAGAGCTTTGACCAGTTCTCCACACTTCTATCACAAGCTGAGGTTGGACCCCTTGAGGAACTACTACCTCTAACTTCCCCAGAATGGGCCAGGGCCTGAAGGTTGGGTGTTGGTGGGATCACCCAGTCAATCCACATCTTCAGGTCACTGGGATCCTCGGCAGCTTCTCAGTCCTTGACCTGCTCTGCCTGCATGCTCACGTCTACCATAATAACTATGTCCAAGGTCAGATCCAGACATTGATGCAGATGCTTGGGAGTGTGTCTGGAGCACCTGCACAAGATCAATGGGAAAGCCCAAGACCTAGTGCCCAAGAAGCACTCACGAGTTCCTGGATCTGTGCATCCTGCGCAGCCACGACATCCCTGCTCTGCCTGAGCCGCTCCTCAGAGGCCTGAAGGCTCTGTTCCAGTTCCTTCACCTATGGGGAAAAAAAGTATTCTTTCTGTTTACAAGAAGCTGAGCAATTTTAACAAATGGTTTTAAAATTCAAATTAGGTTGGGAGTATAGCTCAGTGAGAGAGCATGTGCGTAGCAGCACAAGGCCCTGGGTTCCATCCCTAGCACCAAAAAAAATTAATAAAATAGGTACATGACAGAAAAATGCAAAATGAGAAAAGAAATATCCAGAAGCCTACCATTATAAAACACTAGCATTTGGGGCTGGGATTGTGGTTTAGCGGTAAAGCGCTCACCTAGCATGTGCGAGGCCCTGGGTTCGATCCTCAGCACCACATAAAAATAAATAAATTAAATAAAGATATTGTGTCCAACTACAACTAGAAAATATATATATTAAAAAAAAAGACTAGCATTTTAACACTGTCTCTTCTACTCTGTCTTCTTTTTTTTTGAGATGGGATCTTGCTAAGTTGCTTAGGCTGAACCTGTGACCCTCTTGACTCAGCCTCCAAGCAACTGGGATTACAGGTGTGTACCACTGTAACTGGCAGTTAGGTTTTTTTTTGGTTCTGGAGATGAAGCCCAGGGCCTCATGTGTGCTAGAAAAGTGCTGTGCTAAGAACTATATCCCCAGACCCCGAGAGGGACAGCTTTAACCATCAGGTTCTTCATATACATTCACTAAAAAAATTTAACTAAAAACATCCCCATGGGCTGGGGATGTGGCTCAAGCGGTAGCGCGCTCGCCTGGCATGCGTGTGGCCTGGGTTCGATCCTCAGCACCACATACCAACAAAGATGTTGTGTCCGCCGAAAACTAAGAAATAAATATTAAAAATTCTCTCTCTCTCTCTAAAAAAAAAAAAATTAAAAACATCCCCTTGAGGAGGGGGTTACTATTTCCATGCTGGACAACAGTAATGTTACTTGTCTGTGATTACAACTTTTAGTAGTGGTAGAGCCCGGATTAAAACCCAGTTTTTTCAATTCTTGGGTTCAGAGAATATCACCCAAATGTTAATTTAGAGGCAGAGCTCAAGAAAGATTCATAACCTTAAAAGGTTAAGTGAAATGTTACCATATGACCCAGCAATTCTACTTCTAGGTATATGCCTACGAGAAACGAAAATATGTAACTTCACACAAAAATCTCATATACTAATGTTCATGTAGCATTATTTACAATAGCAAAAAGGTAGCAGCAACCCAAATGTCCATCAATGAGTGAATGGATAAACAAAATGTGATATATTCACCCATCAGAATATTATTCAGCCTTGAAAAAAAATTCTTTTTTTTTTTTTTTTTTGAGAGAGAGAGAGAGAGAGGAGAGAGAGAGAGAGAGAGAATTTTTTTTTCAATATTTATTTTTTAGTTCTCGGCGGACACAACATCTTTGTTGGTATGTGGTGCTGAGGATTGAACCCGGGCCGCACGCATGCCAGGCGAGCACGCTACCGCTGAGCCACATCTCCAGCCCTGAAGAAGGAAATTCTGATATGTTATGACCTAAATGAACTCTGAAAACATGCTAAGTAAAATAAACCAGATACAAAAGACAAAGGGTATATGACTCCACCTAAGTGATGTACCTGGCATACTCAAAATCAGAGATAGAAAGTAGAATGGTATTTGCCAGGGGCTGGGATAGGAGAGAATGGGGGTTTCTGTTTTAGTGGATACAGGGTTTCAGTTTTGGAAAATGAAAAGGGTCTGGAGATAGATGGTGTGGGCTGCCCAACAAAGTCAACATATACTGAACAACACTGAACCGTATGCCTAAAAAATGGCTTAAATGGCCAATATTATATTATATATTTTTTACTATTAAAAAAAAGCCAGGCACATGTCTATAATCTCAGCAACTCAGGAGGTTGAGGCAGGAAGATCATACGTTTGAAGCCAGACTGGGCAATTTAGCAAGACCCTGTCTCAAGAAATAAAAAGAACTGGGGCTCAGTGGTACAGCACCCATGGGTTCAAATGAACAACCACCACAACAAAAGTATAATTAAAAATAAGATGCCATCAAAGCATCCAAACAGACTCTGAAGGTTCTAGGAGTTAATAAGACATCTACTGGGAAAAGTGTAAAATTTTAATAAAGAGTATAAAATAATCTGAATAAATGGAATTTATATATATTCTCAGAAGGGATTCCTTAATATTATAAAAATGACAATTCTCCCACATAGTCCACACATTTAATGTAACTTCACTAAAAATCCAAGTTAAACTTTTTGATCTCAAAACTTAAGAACTTTAAACTGAAAATTTTAAATTTCTACAAATAGTTAAATCAACCTTTGAAGAAAAGGGGAACGTATCAGGTATCAAGATCTAGTATTGACAACACTATAGTAATAAAAACACTGTAGAATCTATACAAGAGCAGACAGACTGACTAAAGGAATGTACTGAAAAAGGCAGGGGCAAACCCCTGTGCAAATGGAAGCTTAGTATGTGATACGGAGAGCATAAGGATCAACATGGAAAAGAGAGAGTGTTCATCAAATGATGTTGAGAAACGTGGAGAAAAGTAAAGCTTGATTATTTCTTAAAATCACACATAAACACAGTCTGTATATGTGAATTAGAGATCTATTATGCCAATAACAAAATTATAAAATGAATAGAAAAAATACAGAAGATCACTGTGACTTAGAAATAAGAATGCATTCTATTGGTGGGGATATTGGGCACTGAACCCAGGGACACTTTACCATCAAGCCCCTCTTTATTTTTTATTTATTTATTTATTTATTTTTGAGAGAGAGAGAGAGAGAGAGAGAGAGAGAGAGAGAGAGAGAGAGGATTTTTAATATTTATTTTTTAGTTTTCGGCAGACACAACATCTTTGTTTGTATGTGGTGCTGAGGATTGAACCTGGGCCGCACGCATGCCAGGCAAGTGCGCTACCGCCTGAGCCACATCCCCAGGCCCCCTTTTTATTTTTTTAAACTAAGTTGCTTAGGGCCTCATTAAGTTGCTGAGGCTGGCCTTGAATTTGCAATCCTCCTACCTCAGCCTCTGAGTTGATAGCTTTATAGGCGAGCACCACCATGCCCAGCAAGAATGTATTTCTTAAATGAAATGTCAATGCACAGAGCAAAAACACTGATGGGGCCTTTCTCTTTCTGCCATTTTGGAGCCTGTGAAGGCTGCTGGGAACTGGACTTCTAAAAGCCAAATATGTCTGGAAGCTATAGGCTGGGTCTTTGGAACCAAAAGTCTGCAGCTCCTTCTAAAATTGAAGGTGTTTACGCCAGAGATAGAGTTGAATTCAATTTGGGCAAGAGATGTGCTTATGTGTACAAAGCAAAAAATAGTAAACAAATAATGCCAGAGTGATCTGGGGAAAGGTGATTTCTGCTCATGGAAACAGTGGCATGGTTTGGGCCAAATTCTGAAGGAACCTTCCTGCCAAGGCCACTGGACACAGAATCCATGTGATGCTGTCCTCCTCAAGGATTTAAACTAGTTAAAATTAAATAAAAATGGATTCAAGGGGCTGGAGTTGTGGCTCAGTGGTAGAGCGCTTGCCTAGCATGTGTGAGGCTCTGGGTTCGATTCTCAGTACTGCATATAAATAAGTAAATAAAATAAAGGTCCATCGACAACAAAAAATATTTTTAAACAATGGATTCATGCTTTTTTATTAAAAAGTTGATGAACCTGACTTTATCAAACTTAAGAATTTCTGTTCAAGGAAGGACACATCACCAAAGTTAACAGAATGGTTCAGAACTGAAAATGACAAAATAATACAAACTAGACTATACAATGGAATCCTTCCAACAAAATAAAAGACTGAAACACCCAAAGAAAAGTAAGCACAGGATATGAATTGACAATTCTAAAAGTAGAAACCTGAAAGACTAACAGTCATATAAAGTGATGGCCAAACTCATTAACAATCTTGGCAGTGAAACTAAAGTTATGAACTATCACTTCACAATAAATAGGCTGGCAAAAACTACAAAGCCATGAAATGCCAATGCTGGAAAAGGCAGAAATGCAGACTTAGAAATCTCATGCTTGTTGGAGAAGGAAAGCCAGGTGCAGTCCTTTGGGAACAATCTTGTCCTAGTCACATTTTCTATCACCCTTAAGGACTTAGAACAGGTTGGTCATTGCAGTGTAATCTGTGCTGGCCAGAAGAACAAGGCAATCTGGATGTCTGCCATGTGACAGGCAACTACACAGTACAGTAGGTAACAACAAGCAGTAGATATGGACAGAAGACAGTGCAGTTGAAGATTATCAGAGAAGACAAATCAACAGCTGTATCATTTACAGAGATTAAAAACACATGGCCAAGCAACAGTGGCATATGCCTATCTATAATCCAAGCTCAGGAGGCTGAGGCAGGAGGATTACCAAATTCGAGGTCAGCCTCAGAAATTTAGCAAGACTCTATTTCAAAAAATGAAAAATAAAAAGGTCTGGGGATGTGGCTCAGTGGTAAAGGGCCTCTGGGTTCAATTCCCAATACCAATAAGCACACAAAACAATGCTACCCAATTTAGGTCAATATTGCACCATAAAATGGTCTATATGAACCACATTCAAGTGGTTTCAGTGGTTAATTGGTTTCAAGTGGAAATAAAAAGGAATCAGTAAGCAAGAGAACAATTTTGTGTAAAGCAATGATGGTAATGTGGCAAAGGTAAAGAAAATAACCCTGAATAAGACCCAAAAAGTAGACTCATAGTATGGAAGAGCTGAACAAGGGAATTCGTGGCCACAGCACATCATTCAGCCAGTTTCCAACCAAACATAGGGCACACTAAGAATAAGATCAGTACCCGAGTCTCCAGGATGTCAATGGCCTTAGCCTGACTGCTTCTGGCTGCCAAAAGCTGCTGCCTGGTATCCTCCAAATTCTGCTCAGCAACAATTTTCTGTAAGTTGAAAGACAAGTAAAAGAAAATAGTCATTTCTTAGAAGGCTGAGACAGAAGGATCACAAATTCAAGGTTAGCCTGGGCAACTTAGCAAGACTCTGTCTCAAAATAAAATAAAATGAAAAAGAAAATAGGCATTCCTCCATTGAATAAGTGTTTATTGATGCCTATAATACACTATGCTTTGTGCCATGCCCAGGGAACACATGCACATTGAAAACCCCAGCAAACTGATAAATAATTCACAGATGGTAAAGTACACATAGATAAATTTGGCACAGTTCTTTGTTCCCAAGACTGGGGCAAATGACTAACAACAATAATAAAAAGTTTTCAGCAGAGTGCAATAAGTTTCTGCAAAGAGGGCACATGGCTGGGGAGACAAGGCCACAAGGTAAATGGCAGTTCCTAACTAAAAGGCAGCCAGGACTGGGAGCATCCAGGGCAGAGGGCGATGACAAGGATGAGAAGGGCTTGCTATGTTCAACTGCAACTCCTCACAAGCCAAAGAGATGATGGGTTTAGGTCAAGAATTCAGACTAGAAAGTTGGGCCAAAGGGCTGGATAACAAAGGATTTTTAATGCTGCAAAAAGAAGTTTGAGCCAAGTGCAAGGCACCTGCCTGTAATCCCAGAGACTCAGGAAGATGAGGCAGGGGAACTGCAAGTTTGAGGCCAGGCTCAGAAAGTTAGTGAGACCCTGACTTAAAAAATAAAAAAGGCTGGGGATATAGCTCAGTGGTGAATTGCAACTGGGTTGAGTCTCCAGTATTGGAAAAAAGAAGTTAAAATTTTGTTCTGTATGCAACATTTTTCAAAGTAGGGCCTTCCAAACCCTAGCATTAGATTTACCAGGGGTAGTTAGTTAAACTTGAGGCCTTATATCTGGCCTGCTGAAATGAGCATTTCTCAGGATAGGGCCAGAGATATACACTCTAGTCAACCTCTCAAGTAACTCCTAGGCACTCTACAATGATGATGACTAAACAATAATAGTAATTATCTTTTGTACTAGGTATTAAATCCAGAATGCTTTACCACTGAGTCCAGTTTACCTTTTATTTATTTAATATTTATTTGTCCCCAGTCCAGTTTACCTTTTATTTTGAGATAGGGTCTTGCTAAGTTGCTTAGGGTCTTGCTAGATTGCTGAGGCTGGCCTTGAACTTGTGATCCTCCTGCCTCAGCTTCCCAAATCATCTGGACCATAGGCATTCACAACAGCACCCAGATACAATAATGTTTATAATATTAATAGATAACATGTAGTGAGATGGGAACATGTTCCAATCATCATTCTAAGCACTGACATATTGTCACCCATCTAATCCTAACAATCATTCTGTTTTTGGTATAATACTAAATTCAATTTTAATGAGAAGGAAACAAACACAAAGAGATTAAGTTACTTGCTCTAGGCTACAAGCTCGTAAGTAGAAGAAGCAAGATATGAACATGGCTGTCTCATTCTAGAAATTTGGAACCCACATTATACTCACTGTAGACTGTTTAAGGGAATTGTGGAAGATGTTTAAGGGAGTGATATGATCAGAAGTGCTGTTTAGGAAGGTCGGTTTGGCAGTGAGGTGGAAGACTGTGTCAGAGAGTGAAGGAGAGGCTGATCCTGGACAGCCAGTCTGGAGCCTTCATGCACACTAGGCTAGCACTCTGGAAGCCTGAAGTACAACAGTGGCAGGAGAGATGGAGATATTCAGTTGAAGTTGGAGACAGTAAGTGAGTCTACCCTAGGCTGAGCCCCAAGGGCCTGGCTTTCTCACTTTTGTCATGATGGGGTCAATCACAGGGATACAAAGAGAAGGGACAGAACACCAGCAGAGAATGACCTAAGACCTGAGGAAAAAGTTCACCTACGGTCACTGGGCAAGAGGCCAGACTATTCAATAGCCCCCTCAGCAGAAGTGCATCCCCTGCCCCAGGTAATTTTGCTCATGTCAAAGGGAGATGGTAGCTATTTCCTTTGCCCCATAGCAGAGTGGGAAGGGAACAGTGCAGGAAGACAACACAGCTCAAGTTGGGGCATTAGTCACTAGGTGACCAGGGGGCCATCTGTTCACGTGTATCTCTGAACAAAGCTCCTCTCTTCCCTAAGAAGTACACAGGGGGCATAAGACTAGTTGTTTTTTTTTCGGTGATGCTGGGGATTGAATCCAGGGGTGCTCTACCACTAAGCACATTCCCACCCTTTTGATTTTTTATTTAGGGTCTTGCTAAGTTGCTGAAGCTGGCCTTGAACTTGCAATCCCTCTATCTCAGCCTCCTGAGTTGCAGGGCTGTTACAGGTATGTGCCACAAAACCTGGCCCCAAGGCTGTTTTTGATGAAAGCAGGACAATCTAAAGTAGAAGTGCCATGACACAGGCTGATAGGCCGGGATACCAGGGAGGCTAAGGCAGGAGGACAGCTTGCACACACAAGTTTGGGGTCAGCATAGGCAACAAAGCAAGACCCCATTTCAAAACAAAAACAAACAAAAAATCCCCCACAAAGTTGGAGCGTGCTCTCTTCTCACCAAGCTGCTTGTTGACCCTTTGACCCTGTGGTTCTGAAACTCTAGGACTATCTTTGGTGCTGGGGCTTGAACCAGGGGCACTTTACTACTGAGCTACATCCCCAGACCTTTTTATTTTTTATTTTGAAACATGGCCTTGCTAAGTTTTCCACAATAGTCTTGAACTTGTGATCCTCCTGCCTCAGCCTCCCGAGTCACTGGGATTACAAGTGTGCACCACCATGCCCAACAAACTTTAAGATTCATGAAACTCACCAGAGTTACAATGCCTTTCCAATACCTTCAGGTACAGAGTGAAAATTACCTCTCTCAGGAGTTCTTGCACATGTTCTTCTCCTGATAAGTTCTGTTCCAATCTCTTCTCCAAAGATGCAACCTTCTCTTGCAAATGTGTGATGAGTTTTTCCTTCTCTTGAGTTTCAGCAGTGACCTGCTCAGGAGAAAGCAGAGGTCATACTGAACCATAAGTCCTCTATCCCTTGCTTTCTGTCTTCTCTTAGGCCATCATGTTTACCTGGAAGTCTATTCTCAACTACACCCTAGATAAACTCAGACAGAAAATCTTCCCTGACAACGGGACATAAGAGATGTCAGATTAGAACCCAGTGATTCTTAGGAATGCAGTTCAGAGACTCGGGTCAGCAAAAAGCAAGCACTCAACCAGATTTAAGCAACTGATACCATGGGAAGGAACAAAGCCATTGTCTGCCTCCAGAGCTAATCCCAACCGAGAAGATCCTAGTCATTTCTGCCTCTTAGGACCTACTGAACAATGCTTCTGGAAACTTGAGGAGCAGGATGAAACAGTGACATTGCCAATGTAACTGCTTTTAAGGCCAATGAGAGAATTCCTGCAACAAATGATGGTATTCCCCTGGCTTTTGCACAGGGCCCCCAGCAGAGCTGCCCGCTTGGCATGAGACCAACACTGCCCACTTCAGTCTGTCTCCTTAGCAATGATGGCAGTGGTGGTGGTGGGAGATGGTATTAACTTTGTTACTTTCACTAATACCAATCTTTTAACGCTGCTCAACGTCAAAACACAGGATCCAGAAGGCTTTAAATATCCAGAGTCTCAGATCTTTGGTGATCCCTGCATCCTGGATGTGTGTCCTCCTCTCCCACAAAGGCAGCATGGCGGCTGCCTCTCCCCTGGAACTTATCTGCTCGCATTCACTCTGCTCATCCTAACCTATGCTCTGTTGCTCCATCTCAAGCCAAGACATTCATGTTCAGCTTGCAACCCAGTCAATTTTTGCTCAGAATAAGAGGTAGTCATCTTTTGCCTAGAGTCTTGAGAAGCACCTGCTATTTTGAGTTGTTGCTGGGGTGACAATGGAGGTAGCGGGCAGGAGGCTGATGAATGATTCACAGCCCTACAATTCATTAAAGTTTTATCAGGCCTAAACTCCATGTTTTGTCTTCGGGGACTGACCCACATGAGTACTGAAGCTGGTGATGGAGACAGATAAGCACATGCCTAGCTATACAGGAACACATTCATGCTGCAATGGGTGACCACGAGGTGCTGTGTGAAGAACCAGAGCAGGCCCTCTGAACAGGCAAGTCCAGGTAGAATGGTTTGGGAGAAGCACCAGCACTCTAGATAGAGGGCAGCTCGGGTGAAAAGGTAACAAAGCTCCCCATGAACATGAGGCTGGTGAGGATGGAAGAGCAGAGGACAAACCCCATGTCAGAAACCTGAACAAGGCAGACGCAAGCCACACGTCTTACAAAAGATGGTGGTAGCTGTTACCTATATGAAAAACTACAGTCAGGGTTGGGGTAGTGGCTCAGTGCATGCATGAGGCACTAGGTTCAATTCTCAGCACCATATAAAAATGAATACATTAAAAAAAATAAATAAATGAAATAAAGTTTCACTGACAACTTAAAAAAAAACCAACAACAATGAAACCCCTCTAGTAAAAAAAAACAGTAGAAAAATGGGGCAAAGATTTGAGCCAGTACTTCACAGAAGAGCATGAATGACCAACAAACTATGAAAAGATGCTCAACCTCACTAGTAATGTGGAAAAAGCAAATTAAAATCATGATGAGATCTTTCATATTCAGCAAATTGTCAAAAATTAAAGGTCTGACAATTTTACATGTTGGCAAAGAAGCAACAAAAACTCCTACTGCTGGCAGAAGTGTGTACATTATCAATAATAACTATAGAAAAAACCCAGGGCATTAGCTAATAAAGCTGAAAATGTACACATAATGGAACCCATGCTTTTTGGCCTAGAGTAACTTTTTTTTTTTTTGTACCAGGGATTTAACCCAGGGACACTTTACATCCCCAGCCCTATTTACTTTTTTTATATTTTAATTTTATTTTTGCAATTTGTTTTGTAGTTGTTGATGGACAAGAATGCCTTTATTTTTTATGTGGTGCTGAGGATCAAACCTAGTGCCTCACGCGTCCTAGGCAAGCGCTCTACCACTGAGCTATAACGCCAGACCCTATTTTTTATTTTGACAGGGTCTCCCTAAGTTGCTTAGGGCCTTGCTAAGTTGCTGAGGCCCTCCTTGAACTTATGATCCTCCTGCCCCGGCCCTTGGAGTCACTGGGATTATAGGCATGAACCACCATGCCCAGCCTTAAAGTAACACTTGCATAATTTGATGAATGTTTGCAACAGTAYTATTTGTATCAGTAAAGACCAGAAACACCCTAATATCTATTGTAAGTAGAATGGATAAATAAATGTTGTATGTCCATAATACACAGTTGAGAAAAGAATAAATGTTTTTTAGAAACATAATGTTGGGCACAAAAAAAACAAGTTTTAGGGCTGGAGATGTGGCTCAGTGATAAAGCACTTGCCTAACATGTGTGAGGCCCCAAGTTCCATCCCTAGCACCTCAAATAAAAAAAAAATAATTAAATTAAAACCAAGTTTTAGACTACCTATAGGATGATTTATTTCACTTATACAACAAGCATAAGAAATAAGATAGTTTAGGAACAAAATATGGAAAAATTATAGAATGAAACAAGGAATGAAAAAATTCTGAATAGAATTTACTTCTAAAGAAAAAGCAACAGAATGGCTGGAACAGTGAAAGACGAACAGGGAGCCAAAAAGACAAACATTATCATTTTTCTTAACCTTGTTACATTTTCTACTTTATTCAAATTTTACAAATACTATTTAATATACATTCAATATTGAGAAGGGCAACAAAATACAATTCCACACTCATGATTTTCATGCTAAAATTGCGATTCCTGTAGACCAGCCATGCAGCTGTTCAAATCAGAAACACAGAAATTCCTAACACATCCTTTTCTCTTGCTCTCCTGTTCCCTTATCTACACCTTAGCAACCTGACCAATCTCAGTACTTCCTAAATTTGACCAGCTCTTCAGCACCAGTCTTCGTCAAAGCTACCATCAGCTCATGGTGGACAACAGTACCAGCTTCCAACCTGGAAGGCTCTTCCAGTAGACCTCCTCCTGAATGACAAAGCAATATACTCTTCTTCCTTATTCTTTTTTTGGAAGCTGGAGATTGAATCCAGGGACTTGGGCATGCAAGGCAAGCACTCTACCAACTGAGCTATATCCCTAGCTCCCTTCCTTATTCTTCTTCTTCCTTATTCCTTCCAGCCTTCTTCCAGGTCCTTGAGTGTGATAAGCCTTTTATTTGTCTCAGGATTTCTGCTCTACTGTCCTCTGCTTGAAATTCTCTCCCATTATCTCTTCCCTTTCAGCCCCAGGAGCATGTCAAGTTTACTTCCTGGAGGAAGCATTCTATGATTCCAAGACCAGATCTGAGTTCTTGTTTTCCTTCAGAGCACTCACCCAAGTTAGTCATTAAATATTTGTGTGATTATTGATTACGGTCTGACTTTATAGACCAAAAAAGGCAAGGGGAGTTCGACTCATGAATCATGGTATTTCCAACAACCAGAGTAGACCCCAGAATACAGAAAGGTTCAACTAACATTTTTCAGAAAGAAAATATTAATGTAACCACCATGTGACCATAGTCTGGACTTCCGTGAGCCTCTTTCTTCTAAGGGAAGAAAAAGGGATGAACAGCTTTAACTGAAAGTGAAGGGTCCCCTGAATTCCAACAGTGCTTGTCTATTACGCCCTTTCTCTACTGCTCAAATGGATGCTATACCTTTCTGTCTTTTCTATCTCCTGATTTCCTACCCATCCTTCACATTTCAGTTTCTCCAGGAAGACCTTTGTACTCCTGCCTGGAAACGTACTCTCCCTAATGGTGTGTCCTCTGCACTTGAAACATCTAGTTCACTTATATGGAACTTATTTGTGATTCTTCTTTTCTTGTGGGTATAGGAGATTTGAGGAACAATAATATATATGTCTAGATTTTAAGTTCATTACGGCCCTTGTATCAAAGTTGTTCATTCATGGAAGATATATTTTCTGGGTGCTTTCCATTTTGAGGTAACAAAATGCAGTAGAGTAAGGATAAATTCTGAGTAAATCTTAGACTATAGGGCTGGGGTGCAGCTCAGTAGCAGAGTATTGTCTAGAGAGGTCCTGGGTTATTTAACCTCCAGGACTGCAAAAACAGACATGGGTTAGAAGTCAACTTGATCACTGACTTTGGAACTCTGAACAAGGTATGTAACCTTAGTCTCCATTTAGGTATCTCCAAATATGATAATACTCAATAGGAAGTGGTATACAGACTTCAGTGTACATAATTCTTGCTGTATTATAATATGCTGTAAGTCTCTGCCTCATTTGAAAGAAGTATTTCTCAAGAGATGAGAAGGGGGTGGGGGGTTCCATCTGATAGAGGATGTTCTGTCACAGGAGAAGGCTGGGCTGTCAATGACTGAAAGAAGCTGTTGGTATGTAGAACCCAGAAGGCAGGAAAGACATTTGTTTCCAATGTAAGAGACAAACATATGATACAAATTGTTCTGTACAAAATGCCAATAAGAAACATCACCGAGAAACATTATTTTTTACTCAATATTATTGCTACTGTTCACCTTCATATTCTTAGAATTCAGCACAGGCCTACAGTGGGAGAATAAATGTATGTTGACCAAATGAAAAATCAAGTTGTAATGATATCAAATTGGAATAGAGTCACGTTTGTCAAAGGTAAAACTCTGGCTACATCAACCAGAGCTGGGGTTTTTTTTGTATGTTTTGTTTTTTATGCTCAAGATGCATCATGTGGTACTGTAATACATATGGTATACATTGATAATTCCTATCAGGACAATACTGTCCTCCATTTCTGTTAAGAAACCCTTGTTCTGCTGGGTGGCCATTTTTCATCTCAATGTGGCTTGGCTAGAACATGAAGTAGAGCAATATGAACTGCATGAGATACATGTTTTAGCGGTCATCTCAAGGATGATGGGATTTATTTTTAACCTCCGAATGCGAATTTTAGGAATTAAGGCCCACTATTCACTCACCTTTTGCAAATCAATGGAAAGCTGCTGAATGAATGCTTGGAGATCTTGTTCCTTTTGTTCCAGGGCTGTTATCTTATTTTCTGCACCTGCTGTCACATGATCTCTTCAGTAAAAGGAAGCAGACAATGAACAAATTTGGATATTTCATCTATAAACACACTCTCCAGAGGAAAAATACAGATAGTGCCTTATATATAAGGGCTGCAAATATTATTAGCCACATGAAGGTTATCAATAGAAAAGACTTCTTGGCTCTCTCTTAAGCAAAAGCCCAAAGACAAAAAGTCCACCCAGGTTTCAGCAAGAAATCCTAATGTTTTTGCTTACTCAAAAACTTCAAAATTAAAGCATACTGAATTGCTCAGCAGGACTGGAATGATTCTAAGCCTAGGTTCATGAAGGGGACAGAGGGTTGGTGGTGAGATGGCATGGAAGGCCTGATCCTAAGCAGGAAAGAACAAGTCTAGAGGTGTTTGCCAGCCCTGAGATCAGAAAATGTTGTGATGAGCAATGGGGACAGGTGAGTGGGCTATAGATAGAACTACACCAACACCTCTTCCCAAGGGCCCCACAGACCAAGCAAGAACCTCTGCTCTTCCAGCGCTGAGTAGCATCTCTGTAATTCTTCCAGCTTCTGCCTTAAATCCGATGACATCTGATTGGAGGTCATCAACTCTTCCTGGGTCTGACTAAGTTCTCTCGTTCGTGCCTCCAGCTCTTGCTCCATCTTTCCCAGACTTTCTTCTTTTTTTAAAAGCTGAAACAAACATATAAAAATTCACAAAGCTACTGCTAAGAAATATATTTAAAAAAACATGAGTATCCAAATTTTTATAACATTTCAGTGGGATTAAAAGAGGGCTGAGCTGATGGAATGGCATGAGCCTGCTATTCAGAGGGCTAAGGCAAGAAGATCATAAGTTGGTGGCCAGCCTCGGCAATGAGACTCTGTCTCTTATTTAAAAATAAAAGCAAAACCAAAAAACAATATAATGAAACTCTGTTTAAAAATAAACAAAAACAGAAGGCTTATAAGGCTAGTACACAGCAAACAAAAAAAAAAAAGAAAGAAAAATGAAAACATTTCAAATAGAACTTTTCCTTTCAATAAAAAAAAAAAATTCAAATGTGATCAACACTAAAAACTCCTGGGGCTGTGCACAGTGGCACATGGTCTGTAATCCTAGAGGGAGAAACTGAGGCAGGAAGATTGCAAGTTCAAAGCCAGCCTCAGCACCTTAGCAAGGCCCTAAGAAATGTAGCAAGACCTTACCTCAAAATAAAAAAATAAAATAAAAATTAAAAATAAAATAAAAAATAAAATAAAATAAAAAAAATAAAAGATCTGGGGATGCAGGTCATGATGAAGCACCCTGAGCTCATTCCCTAGTACCAAAAACAAACAAGAAAAAAAAAAAAAAAAACCCAAAATCTACTAAGGTCTGTTTATCACCAATTACAGTGATGATTAATAAAATCAGAGTAAACAATCAGTGTTTCTTGTTCAGGAGTGTTATTCAGTATTGAGCTTCTTAAATAAAAGTGCATACCATGTGCTTGACTTTACTTAGTTCCTGTTGCTGGAAACCCTCTAATTCATCCATTTCATCTCTCTTTTGGAAAAGATTCAAACTCTGGTTCTTCACTTCCTGTAGCTGAGCTGTTAAAAATCTTTTTTCCTGTTTGGAAGAAGACATCAACTCAGACAATGAAAATATTAGAAATCTGTATTACACAAGTAGAATTCATAAGATAAGAAAATCTTGAGGAAATCTCATGCCAATAGATAGTAATGCATGGTTAACAGGAAGCATTACAATATATGACCAATATGACATCACTTACAAATTCCTTCAGTAAAAAATAAGTTTTAAGTGATAACTGTGAATAAAGAGAACAAAAGCAACAATTACTTAAAACTGTGCTCTTAAGTCTACTTGGCAATTCCATATACATGTTTTACATGTTTATAATTATTGACACATTGAACTGGCTGAAAAACATAACTGGAGTACAACTAAAAGTTCTAAAAAATTATACAATTTAGCAAGGAAAAAAAAAATTAGACTTAGCCAGGCACTGTGGTACACACCTGTAATCCCAGAAGCTCGGGAGGCTGAGGCAGGAGGATCGCCAGCCTCAGCAATGGTGAGGGGCTAAGCGACTCTTGGTGAACTGAGGTAGATTTTATTTGGTTAAATCCTAAATGGATCTCCTTTACCATAATTTTGAAAGATAAAAACATTTCAATGAGAATTCACTTCTCATATAGTGTCTGTGGGTTCAATCCACAGAATTAAAGAAAAAAATAAATAAAAAAGAAAGCTTTACCCTAACTCTCATACCTCTATATTTAAGACCATCAATAACAATGTTCTGGATTTAGGATTTAGTTTTTTATTTTTCTTTTTAAGTTGTTGACAGACATTTAATTAATTAATTTATTTATTTTTATGTGGTGCCTCACATATGCTAGGTAAGTGCTCTACCACTGAGCCACAACCCCAGCCCTATTTTTTTTTTCTTCTTCTAGTACTGGGGACTAAACCCAGGGGTGCTTAACTACTGAGCCACATCCTCAGCCATGTTTTACATTTCATTCAGAGACAGGGTCTCACTGAGTTGCTTGGTCTCACTAAATTGCTGAGCCTGGCTATGAATTTGCGATCCTCCTGCCTCAGCCCCCTGAGTTGCTGGGATTACAGGCATGTACCACCACACCCAGCCTGGATTTATTTTCAAATAGAAGTTTCTTTGGAACTTGAGTTTTCTGTATTTTTCCTTTCAGAAAAATGCTAAAGCATTCTGGTTGTTTAACATCAGACTTCTACAGAATGCACAAAGAAAATCGTGGCTTAATTTAGTGTTTTATGGAAAGAATGGAACAATAATAAAACTAATTTGTTTAATAAAATTGATAGTGAATATTCTTTGGAACTGAATATATCATTCTCAGAAAAAAATTTTCTACCATGAAGAATAATTTAGGAGTACTCAATGATAGCAAGGAATGAATTAGGTAGCAGCATATAATTTGTTGATTATTATAAAATTAAAATGTTTTTCCAATTGTAGGTTTGAAATTTCATGTTTATGTCTGAGAGCCGGAAACACATTACTTTAGGCATCTACACAGTGGTATATAAGTTATGACCCTAGAATATTCACTTTGATTCATCTCTTTCTAGCTAAAAAGTTCTCTTACCTATTCCATGCTGAGCTTTGAAAAATGCTCTCATTTCCCACATTCTATCATGACACGTTCCTAATACTACCACAGGATCAATTAGGGTCTTTGCAAGAAACAGCAGACTCAATTAGCTGTTTCATTAAAACTTTGGGCTGGATAAGAAAGCCCAAAAGAGCTGGGTACAGTGGGCATGCCTATAATCCCAGCGGCTCCAGAGGCTGAGACAGGAAGATCTTGAGTACAAAGCCAGCCTCAGCAAAAGCAAGGCACTAAGCAACACAGTGAGACTCTGTCTCTAAATAAAATACAAAACAGGGCTGGGGATGTGACTCAGTGGTTAAGTGCCCCTGGGTTCAATCCTTGGTACCCCCAACCCCCCAAAAAAATTAAAAAGAAAGAAAGCCCAAAAGAGATAACATGCTAGTACCAGCTAAGGCCAAATGGGTGAAGAGATCACAAGAGATATGTCCAAAGATCCAACTGAAGCTGTGACTTTTGGCCAAAGGATGCAAGGAGCCCACAGAAGACACAGTTGGGGAATAAACATTCTGACCACATTACTTTCCCCATGGGCTGAATCTAGTCAGAGGCCAGAGGGTACACAGAGAGGGGCGTATCAGGAAGAACAACCAAAGGCATTCTGCATAGCCAATAGGACAGACAAATTCTAGAGGAAGGCATGAACTGTTCAAATCGATGTCTACTCCTACAAAGCCCTGTTCCAGGAGGTGGTATCGCAGTCAGTACTGTATAGTGACTACCAGAAAAAACGTTCCCAAGCCCCAGAGATGAGACCAACATGAATAAGACAAAAATTAAGATGAACTAACCTTTTCAAGCTGATCCATCTTTTCTGACCATTCCTAAAACAAAACAAAACAAAAAAGTACAGTTTCCAGGGAAGAGTATTTGAAATACTAGGATTTTCAGAAAACAAAACATAATCCTCCCCAACCTCCAAAGCAACCAACCAACCAATGAACAACAACAAAAAAAAAAAAAAAAAAAAAAGAAAAGAAAAAGAAAGAACTAGGAAGAACTTGGTAATATTAAAAATGTTAACAAGTCCTGAAGAAGAAGAAAATGAACCTTACATAAAATTCTAGAACACAAATATAAACCTGCAGATTTTTGCTAAACAGGGCACCCACACAAAGCTGTATCTGCTGTTTTCATGCAGCTTTTAGCTTAATCCTGAGAGTTTTCCCATGGGTACTGTTATTGCTTCTTGCTTCCTGGGAGTGGGCAGCTGGAACCAGCTGAGTTGGTAACTCTGCGACTGATGTTTAGAAATGAATTTACTGAAAGTGGCAGGGAGGATTATCAGCAGTACCGGGTAATTATTTTCCTTCTTATCTTGCCTTGACTAACATGCTTTGTGCCTTCTGTTATGTGTCAAGGGAAAAGGAATGATGCCCTTTTCAATAACCATTTTAAAATGGGGGAAAATAACCAATGTAATAGAAAGCTGGATTGCCTACAATCAGAACCTACCAATTTATTTATTTATTTATTTTTTTAAAGAGAGAGTGAGAGAGGAGAGAGAGAGAGAATTTTTAATATTTATTTTTTAGTTCTCGGCGGACACAACATCTTTGTTGGTATGTGGTGCTGAGGATCGAACCCGGGCCGCACGCATACCAGGCGAGCTTGAGCCACATCCCCAGCCCAGAACCTACCAATTTAAATTTTTTTTTTAATTTGTATATACTCGTACCATAGTTATCCACAGAGTATTGGTGATTTTTTTTTTCTGAACAGAAAATGTCCTAGGAAACAAATCTACACTTTAAGACAAACTGATCACTGTACCCATAAAATTAATTATACATTTTATTAGATCAAATATAATAAATTGACCCTTTCTAGATAAATTAGGATGATTATAAAACACTCATGTTTATCTCAATTAAAATGACATTATCTTGAGCAAAATACACTTTATAATCGTTGAAATAACCAACAACAGTATTACATTCTTTTCTTATCATTTATCAGGCAGTTTTTAGAGAATGCTTCTGTTGAGGTTAAGAAWTTCTCCTCTAAGGTGGGCACAGTGGAAAACACCTACAATTCATCTACTCAGGAGACTGAGGCAGGTGGATCACAAGTTCAAGGCCAGTCTCAGCAACTTAATGAGACCCCATCTCAAAATAAAATAAAATAAAATAAAAAAATAAAAAGCCTGGGATGTAGCTCAGTGGTAGAGCACTTGTCTAGCATGTGTCAGCCCCTGGGTTTAATGCCCAGTGTTTGGGGTCAAGGCTCTGAGATAGGTGTGTTGGGAGGGCAGAAATTATTGTCCTTAGGTTATAGACACACCATTCATGTTCTCAAGTTTACAAAGCCACACAGATACAGAGGATTATTCTCTCCCATTCTGGACATGTCATGATTAAAACTATAAAGTTCAACTTTACAAAAAACGGTCAAATGAAACCTTAAAGAACATACATATAACTTCTTTTCTCCTAGGTTATAAATATTTCCTACCAGATTTATGTCATAATTTTTGAAGTCTTGTCACTAAGTGAAATCTTTCCACCAGTCTTGGGCAGGCCACATACAAAATACCTGGTCCTTTCTGGCTAATGCCAAAGCCAGTCCTTCTGCCATTTTGGCTCTGTTGGCTTGGAATGTCTCATTCTGCTCTTGAAATTTCCGCATGGAAGCTGTTAACAAAGAGGCTCTATTTGAGATATGGAAATACTTCAGAAATAGCATGACAAAAAGCCCATGTAATTACTTTACAAATGTCACCAGACAAAAAAAGGCCAAGGTCATATATGTGAGGCTGGGAAACCCTACTCCATCTCAACTCCCAGAAGAACCTTTGGCCTTGGAAACAGACCAGGGTTCTGTTTTCTTGTTTGGTCCCTTGTTGTTTTGTTTTCTGTAACAGCAAAGTGCACACACTTAGGAAGATGTCAAAAGGTGACTTTTTAAGTGGTACAACGACAAAACACTTTCTGTAAGTTGCCAGAAAACAACAATGCTGTTGCTAAAAGATAGCTGCTACTCCTTCATCAGAACCAGAAACAAAACCAAAAAGAAACTATTTTATTTATCTTAAAAAAAATTTTTTAGTATATATAGTATCAACAAAGACTCAACTCTCTACTTCTATTTGCATTTTTTGCATTATTTCCCAAAGGAAAATACAGGACTTAGGATACATTAAAGAAAGTGTACATTCAACTTTTGAGGTGTGATGACAGAGCTCTCCCTATTGCCCAACACAGCAGTAATGAAGCTATGGTTAGAACCCAACCGCCAGGACTAGATTTTACTAAAAACTAAGGCCAGCCTATAAATGGCTCAACTGCATAGGGACAAACTGACGCACAGATGACCCCTTCATAAGCAGCATGCCCCAAAAGCAATGTAAATACAAGTTCACATTTAATAATATCAGATAAATGTCATATCAACCTGATTCAGAAGTACATTACTTATAAAATAAAGATATGAGTTCTGATGAAGGACAAATTTAAGAATATACTGTTTTATTTAAAAAACTAGCCCTAAAAAGATTGAGAAAAGCAGGAAATTAATACGTACAATCCTGGTGCTTTTCTAATGCAATTTCAAGCTTCTCTTTTATCTTCTGCAAGTTTCGGACCTGTTCAGCATAGTCTTGGGTGAGGAGGGTGACGCACATACCAGGAATGGACAAACATCAGGAAAGGAAGTTAATTAAACAAAAAAATGAATGAAAATGATGATGATTTTCTCAACCTGAAAACCAGTCCTGTTAAGGAAAGCTAGGCAGATAGCCTCCCATTAACAATGAACAACACAGGCGAACAGGTATAGTACAAACTGCCCACAGTATAAACAGTGAATGCCAACAGGTAGATTCGTTTAGCCTTGATAGTGAACAAGAATTAGTCTGGGCCTAGCCATAGAAATACCCTGCTATGAAAATCACATTATTATCCCATTACTTAGTTTCAAGTCTCAATGTTCACTTCTCCTTTTGGCCTTAGCATAGGACAGATCAAGGGAACTCACTTAAAACTCACTTGTCACCCACATAACTCAGAACAGTGGTTTGGGCAACAGCAAGCACGGTACTGTCTCTATAGTGAAGGTACTTAATTCTATAGACAAATATCCAGGAACTGTGTTCCCTATGCCATACCAAAGGTGAAAGTCAGAATTAATTATCTGGGTAGCCAAGGATGACAGCATAGTATTGTGAAAAAGTAGATATAAGTTCAAATCTCAATTCAAACCCCCCTTGGCTGGGGACCTTAGGCATAGTATTGATCCTAAGTATTAGTTTCTTTAAGTACTAAATAATAATATTAATTGTACCTACTTCAAAGAATGCATTAGATAATAAAGTATTTAATATGCCTTAAAGCTTGGCCCACAGTGCTCAATAAAAGGTAGGTATTACTGTACTGTTATATTCACACTAAGCCTGTAGGACAATATCCATGACATTAAGTGGACTCAATAAATCTCAGCTCTCTTCCCTGTTCCATTACTAACATAGGTTAAGCCTGTTCTTTAGGGAAGGTATATATTACTTTATCACTATCTTCTCAACATTAAACACATACTGATTACTTCACCTCTGTTGCTGATATCATTTCTGAGCAGGAGTAACGGGAGAGTACCAAGAGAGTTTCAAGTAGACTGTAATTAAGAGCATGGACTCTAGCATCAAGAAAGTCTGAATCTGGACTTCAGCTCTATCACTAAATGCTTGTGTGACCTTGACCCTAAGTTTAATAAGGCTACACTGAAAACAAAATGATTAAGATGCTATGAATCTTTGATAGCTATACAAATGTAAGGATCTTACATAAAATTTGGTGAATTTTGGCCTTCTACGTTCACTCCAATAAAATGGGCATAAGGTCAAGGGACAAAAAGAGACACAAAAGCCATGGACCACTTTACAAGATGAAGCTGTCAAAATATATCCACGGGAAGAGACTACAATGAGAGCTCACAATTCTATCACAAACATGCCCTGTGCAGGCAAAGGATATATGGGAGCTATGTAAATTGTAAACTGCACATGAAGACACAATGAGCATTACAGCTTCTATAGAAGCAGGAGTTGAAGTTAGAAATTCCATTGAAAATTGGCCTGAAAACCCAGAACAATACTTACACAGGTGATATGAGCTAAAGCAATGGGCAACCTAGCACTGACCCTCTCTAGAACTGATGAATCCAACATTTATTTGGTCATTCCATATAAACATTATCCTCCGCCCCCTCTACCTGAGAGTAAGCTATGCTAATGGTGGAAGATGGTCAAATCTATTCTGTGTGTGCTTTAATACCTTTTATGTCCATGGCTAGAAACCTCAGGAGCAGAAAAATAAGTTTGAAAAAAAAAATAGATGTTCAAATTTAGTTTTGAATTGACACTATTCAGTACACTAAAAAACTAAGAAAGAGGATTATTCCTTTCTGACTAAGAAGATGAATATTATGTCAAAATAACTATAAAGTTTATCCTATAGGCTATTTTATAGGGAGAAAGAGTCAGACAAGATAAGTTTCCTGTTGTTCATATTTATGACTTCTTAGACATACCAGAAAGTCTGGCCTCTAACTTCCGGATCTGCTCATTTCTTCTCAAAAGTTGGGATGAAAGATCTTCTCTGGAGCTGCTTCCATCAGAAGCCTGTTGGACAGGCAGACAGAAGGAGAGATCATATTCATATGTGGTTTTTTTCACTAGTATGAAATGCAACAATTCTTCTTCTTTTTTTGTTTGTTTGTGGTGCTGGGGATCAAACCCATAGCTTCACACATGCTAGGTAAGCACTCCACTACTGATTAACATTCTCAGCAATAACAATTCTTATTTTAGGTTTGGCTGTACTTTAATTGTGATTGCCAAAAAATTTCACATAAGTGGCCCCAGCTTCTCTAGCTATAAAGTGAAGGCAACGCTACCTGCCTCTGTAACATGAAGGTGAGATGAGATACAGTAAGTCATGTGTGTGCATGCTACTGGAATAAATGGCAGCAAATAAACCCACTGCAACCATATTATACCAAGAACAATACAAAAAAAACACATCACTTTAGAGCTGGGGGTGTAAGCTCAGTAGTCTCTAGAGTACTTGCCTAGCAATCTTGAAGTCCTGGTTTTGATTTCTAGTACCACAAAAAAAAAACAAAACCAAAAACAATAAATCACTTCAATTTTCCAAGGATTAAACTCCTGGGAAAAGAAGGGAGGGTTCTTCAACAAGGGATCAAAGTCTTGTCTCTGACAAAGAGTCTATGTTGATATTAATAAAGCTTTAGTATTCTCAGGTATAAAACAAGAGGATGTCATCTAAGGCTCTAAAATCCATCAAAGACTTTAGCATATATCATTCAATATACCAATATATTAATTAAACATCTATTCTCCCCAAAACCCCGATGATGACGATAATGTCAATGATGACAATGACCTGCAGTGTTAGGGATTCACCTGGAGACTTGTGTATGCTAAGCAAATGCTCCACTACTGGGCTATAATGCCAGGACCCAGATTAGTCTAAAACTTAAAAGTATTATGGTTACTTTGGGCATTATGTGTTATTGCTAATAAATAACTGACTTTAAGCCAGGCACGGTGGTGCATGCCTATAATCCCAGTGGCTTAGGAGGCTGAGGCAGGAGGATCGTGAGTTCATGGCCAGCCTCAGCAACTTAGTGAGACCCTGTCTCTAAATAAAATATGAAAAAGAGCTGGGGATGTTGTTTGGTGGTTAAGCACTCTGGGTTCAATTCCTGGTACCAAAAAATAAGTAAATAAAAACAAAAAATTTTTACTAGCTGGGCACTGTGGTGCAGGCATGTAATCCCAATGATACAGGAGGTTGAGGCATGAGGATCCCAAGTTTGAGGACAGCCTCAGAACTTAGTGAGGCCTTAGGCAATTTAGTGAAACCCTTGTCTCAAAATAAAAAAGGAGGCTGGGGTTGTGGCCGGCGATAGAGTGCTTGCCAAGCACATATGAGACCCTCAGTCTGATCCTCAGCACGGCATTAAAAATAAATAAAATAAAGATATTGTGTCCAACTACAATTAAAATATAAATATTTTTTAAAAATTAAAAAGGGCTAGAGGTATAGCTCAGTGGTAAGGTGACTCTGGATTCAACCCTTAGTATACCCCACCAAAATCTTTTTACTTTTTTTTAAAAATATCTTTAGTTTTTATTTATTTATTTATTTTATGTGGTGCTGAGGATCAAACCCAGGGCCTCACCCATGCAAGGCAAGTGCTCTACCACTGAGTCACAACCCCTGACCTTGTTTTACTTTTTAAAATACCTTTATTTTATTTATTTCTTTTTATGTGGTTCTGAGGATCAAACTAGGGCTTCGCATATGCTAGGCAAGCGCTCTACCACTGAGCCACAACCCTAGCCCCCTCTTTTTACTTTTTAAAAAATGTTTTTATTAGGGCTGGGGTTGTGGCTCAGTGGTATCGCACTCGTCTGGCATGTGTGAGGCACTGGGTTTGATCCTCAGTACCACATAAAAATAAATACATAAATAAATAAAAATATTGTGCCCATCTACAACATAAAAAAATTTTAAAATGTTTTTATTAGTACATTATAGTTTTACATAATATTGGGGTTCATAACATACATACATTGAATATAATTTGCTACATTTTAGTCCCCAATATTTCCCCTTTCCCTCTCTCTTCCCTGTTCCTCTTCCTCTACTGGTCTTCCTTCTACTTATTTATAGTTCTTTTTAAAATTACTGTTTAATAGAGATATATAAAAGTGAAATTCATTGTGGTATATTCATATATTATATAACACAATTTGGTCAATTTCATTCTGCAGTTCCTCCATTTCCCATCCCTCCCCCTCAATCTCCTTCTCTACTTCACTGATCTCCCTCTTATTTTTGTGAAAACAAAACACACTTTCCCCACTTATTTTGGTCTAGCTTTTTCATATGAGAGAAAACATTTGACCCCTTGAGTTTCTGAGTCTGGCTTATTTCACTTAGCATGACGTTTTCCAGTTCCATCCATCTACCAGCAAATGCCATTATGTGATTAAAACTCCATTTTAGGGGGAAAAAACCCTATTTCATTGTGTATATATGCCACATTTTCTTTATGCATTCATCTGAGCTGGTACCTGAGCTGGTTCCATAATTTGGCTATTGTGAATTGTGCTGCTATAAACACTGATGTGCCTGTATCTCTATGTTATACTCATTTTAGTTCTTTTGGAAAAATACTGAGGAGTGGGATGCCTGGGTCATAAGATGGTTGTTTTCCTAGTCTTTTTTACTTCTTATTACTAGTCTTTTTACTTTTTATTATAAAAGTTTTGAAAAGAAAGAAAAGCTGGGAGAATGGTTTATTTTAACAATGGTCCATGTTTTCTCATATTCTTATTTCCTGAACTACTTAAAAAAACAGGCATTATGACATTTCATCCTAAATACACTGATAAATATTTCTAAAAAATGAGGACCTTTTCTTGATAGCCATAATACTGCTACCATACTTAATAAAACTTACAATAATACTCAGTCTTTAATCACATTTCTCATTTTATGCCCCAAATATTCTAAAAGATGGTTGAACAATTCACAATTCACTTCAAATATTTATTTATCAGTCACTTGCTCATCTACTATTTACTGAGCGTGAGTACTGAAGACTGGTAAGCAGAATCTCTAGAGTCAAAAGACCAGGGTTAAAGTCCCTGCTTTACCACTTAATGCTGGAAGAACTCCAGCTAATTACTCAACTTCCTTATGTGTTCCATTCCTGTTAACTATTGTTTACGGGGTACATCCTTCCTGCAGAATGCTTGCAGGCATTCTGTAAACTATAATAACAAATATGGTCTACCTTGCTGAGCTGAGAGAGGATTAAATAAACTAACACTTGACAAATTTGTGAAACAGAGCATGGCATATACTCAGTTTTAAGTGTGTCACCTGATACTAGTGTCTTGGTCTGTTCAGGCTGCTATAAGAAAATACTATAGGGCTGGGGATGTGGCTCAAGCGGTAGCGCACTCGCCTGGCATGCATGCGGCCCAGGTACGATCCTCAGCACCACATACAAACAAAGATGTTGTGTCTGCCGAAAACTAAAAAAATAAATATTAAAAATTCTATCTCTCTCTTAAAAAAAAAAAACGAAAAGAAAATACTATAAAGTGGGCACTGTATAAGCCACAGAAATTTACTGCTCATAGTTTTAGACTCTGAGAAGTCCAAGGTAAAGGTTCTGGCAGGTTCAGAGTCTGGGTAGCACCCACTTTCTGGTTCATAGATAGCACCATGTAGCTACATTCTTACATGGTGGAAGGGGACAGGCAGCACTCTGGGCCCTCTTTTATAAGAGCACTTATAAAAGTGCTCTTATAAAAATTAACAACCTAATCATCTTCTAATTAACAACCTAATCATCTCTCAAAAGCCTCACCACTTGGTACCATCCCATTGTTAACTGTGGGGGGACATAAACATTTAAACAATAAAATTAGCAATGTAAGAAATTATTGATTATTACTGCTAGTGAGACTTACTAGGCCTCAGCATCATGCCAAGCATTAGGAACTGTGGTGAGAAAGGCCCTCCCTAAGACAGCAGCAGTAGCAACTGTGACCAAGAGCGGGATACTATGCTAAGCGCTTTATACACTATGAAACAAAAAAAGTTAACAAGACCTGAGACTGCTATCATTAAAAATATCTTCTTGTAAAGTTGGCCCATTGAGGCAACTGAGGACTTGTACTTTGGTAACATTCCCATAATTTCTGATAAGAGTGAATGATTGTGTTCAAACTATTTGTGCATAAACAGTTTATGCCAAACACCTTTCCTTCTGGAGTCTTGGATTTTGGTACATGTTAGGGAGATGTCTACACCATCAGCATCTAGTAAAAACTCTGGACAGTACGTCTCTAATGAGCTTCCCTACCAGCCATTTTACCTCATTGTCATAAGTCACTCTCGGGGAATTAAGCATATTCTCTGTACTTCACAGCAGTTGGAGCTGTGCTTGGCCCCCAGCTCTTCCCCATGCACCTTCACCCTCTGCTGATTGTGCTTTCCATCCTTTCACTGCAAGAAACTACACCATTGAGTTCTGTGAGTCCTTCTACTGAATAATGGAACTTGGGGTGATTGTGGAACCCCTGACATAATACTTTAATAAAGACAGACACAGGTATTATTCCCCCAACTTTTTTTGTGTGGTATCAGGGATTGAAGTCAGGGGCACTCTCTAACATCAAGCTACATCCCCAGCTCCTTTTTGAAAATTTTATTTTGAGACAGGTCCTTGCCAAATCGCTGAGGCTGGCCTTAAACTTTTGATTCTCCTGCTTCAACCTCCCAAGTCACTGGGACCTATCTCCATTTTACAGATGTGGAAAGTACACTATAGAAAAATGAAGTAATTTGTCCACAGTCACACAATGATGATATAGTAGGGAACCACATTCAGGTCTGACTCTATATCTGACCTGAGTTCCTAAGAGCTTCACTTGATTGCCTCTCATGAAGCTCCCAGTTTTAGCAGCAGAGACCAACAACCAAATTGTTACTACTAATGTAGTATAACAGGTACTACCACAGAGGTAAGCAGAAGGTGAGGCACCAAACTCACCCAGAAGGGTGAGGGGTCGGGGTAAGAGAGGGCAGGGTTGAGGAGGCTTCCATGAGTAACATGTGAGCTAAGTCTTGAAGGCTGCAGAATCTGTCAGAGGAATCCAAGAGTGAAAGGGGAGATAGAAGACTTTCCAGAAGGAGTGAACAGTATAGGCAAACACTGGTAGGCAGAAAGTAATGTGAGCCATTCCAGGAAGCTCAATAGATTCAGTATGGCTCCAGCATGGGGTGTAAGAAAGCTGAGCGAGATGAAGTTGGGTTGGTTAGCTGTGAAAAAACATGGCAGTTTATCATTTTTTTAATATGTTTATTTTCTAGTTATAGGTGGACACAATATCTTTATTTTATTTTTATGTGGTGCTGAGAATCGAACCCAGTGCTTCACGCATGCTAGGCGAGCGCTCTACCTCTGAGCCACAACTCCAGTCCTGGCAGTTTATCATTTAAAGACAATAATTGATACCATCTGAAAATGTCAGATACCATATGGAATAATGATAATGAATTGGTACTTCATCCTGAAAATAAGGAAGCCACCAAGTTTTAAGCATCAAGAGATATGAACAGATCAGCTTTTAGAAAGATCATTTTGGGAGCTATTGGAGGCTGACATGTTTCCCCAAGAAAGAAAATCATCCTGAAATAAAGTAGACTTGCAGAGGCATAGAGAGGTTAAATTTGAGAGACATTTGGGAAATGGAAAACAAAATATTTGACTGATTAGATACCAAGAAGTGAAAGGAGAAAAGAGTCTAAAAAACATTCAGGGCCTCCTGGTGGTGAGTTGGTAGGATGGAGATGGAATTATCAAATTCAATTGTTCATTTAGAATGTCAAATACCATATGGAAGGCATCTGTTTGGAGAAATAAATGCAGTTGGATATAAAGGTCTGGATACAGGGAGTGAGGATGACACTATATATGTAGTTAAGTTCAAAAAAGTTACTCGAAAAGTCTCAAAGCAAAGTATTCCTTGCATTCAGGTCAGTTTCTATGTCTGGAACACATTCTAGATGAGAGATTTGATTTAGTATGTCAGAATGAGGGGAAAGCAGGTCCTTCTGCTGTGAACTCGACATTTAAACCAAATATTTTAGAGAGGTGGAGAGGTAGCACAGGGGTAGAAGAATCTGCTTAGCATGTGCAAGGTCCTGAGTTCAATCCCCAACACTGTAAAACAAACCAACAAAACCTATATCATTTAGCCTGGTGATCAAATTTTCACTTATATTTAATGTTAAATACAGGGGTGAATAACATTCTTATCATTTAATCTTATTGCTCTACTGCAATAACCTAATAGCTTCTGTCATGTAATCCGACCAGGGATTCAGGCAGTGGAAGAACGAAGGAAGAGTCATCTGACTATAGAAACAACACAAATGTCTACCACTGGGAGAAGATAGAAATAAACTGTGGCCTTTTCAAATGCAATAATCTTATAAAATAAATAGCAGTAAAAACAAATGAACCACAGCTTCAAGCCACACAGATGAATTTTGGAAACATGTTGAGCTAAATAAAAAGTAAGTCCAAGAAGACTATGGTATACCATCTTTAAAAAGTTCAAAACTAAGCAGTATTAAATAATAAACTATAGGTCATGGTGGTGGATGCCTGAAATTCCAGTGATTTGGGAGGCTGAGACAAGAGGATCACAAGTTTGAGATAAGCCTTGACAACTTAGCAACACTGTCTTAAAAAAATAAAAAGGAGGGGCTAGGGATATAGCTCAGTGATAGAGCACTCCTGGGTTCAGTCCCCAGGACCACACAAACACAAAATTGTTTATGAATACATATGTATCTGTTAGGATATATTAATTAGTATGGGAATTAAAAACAAAATGTAGTGGTTATGGGAAATGGGGAGTAGCATGTAAATACTGATAATGTTCTATTTCTTTGGATGGGTGACAGATTTACTTGCTTCATACATCATATACACATTATGCTTTATCTTTTCTTTATGGTGCTAGGGATCCAACCTGCTTTATGCTTTATATGTACACTGTATACATCCTTTTATATATATATCAAGCATTAAAAATACTTTAAAAAAATATTTTATTAGTTGTTGATGGTCCTTTATTTATTTTTATGTAGTGCTGAGAATCAAACCCAGTGCCTCACACATGCTAGGCAAGCGCTCTACCACTGAGCCAAAACCCCAGCCCCTATAAAATCCTTTTTAAAGTCATATAACTTACAAGGATCCTGTCAAATGTCAAACATAACATTTTGATCTTCAGCATATTTCTCTAATATAGCAGCATCCTCATTTTTAAAAATCTTATTAAACCAAAGATACTTTACAAACAACATGACATACTATATTCATAAGTGCCATCTTTCCATAAATATTCCCAATAAAATAGTGCACTCTGGCATAATTTGCAGGCCTTGTTAAAGCAACAATGGCAAAGTATATATATGCCTGCATAGAATACAGACCGAATGTAAAAGAAGATGCACAAACTATACAGATAGAAAAGCAGTACAAGAGGACAATGTACAGAATATGGAAAGGGATTCACTGAAAAATAAGAAAAAAGAAAGCTACCTTAATATCAACAAACCAACACTAATAAAAAGGTATCTTAAGTACAGAACCAGATATATAATCAGGTTTTTAAACAGCTATAAACTACAAAATAGATGAATCATGCAATAAAAAAATACATGTTGGAAGGATTCAGTGCAACATTATTTTTAAACTGTTCTGAAGCCAGGCATGGGGGTGTATGCTTATAATAGCAACAACTCAGGAGGCTGAGGCAGGAGGATTGGAAGTTTTTGAGACCAGCCTCAACAACTTAAGGAGACCCTCAGCAACTTAGTAAGACCTTGTCTTGAAATAAAAATAAAATAAAATAAAAATAAAAGTAAAAAGGACTAGGGATGTAGCTCAATGGTAAAGCGCCCCTTTAATGAGATAAATCCCCAGTACCAAAAATAAAAAAAAAAAATTGATACTGCACCAAATATTCAAAGCTAGAGAAGATACTTACAAAGTCATCTCCTGAGTCAGCTCCCATAGAGGCTACTGATTCCTTGCTCACTGACCGTGGGATCCTTGTAGCACCTCCTGGCCTCTGAGTGACAGCAGTCTCTTCTGCAATTTTCTTCTTTAGTTTTGCAAACATTTTTGCTATGTGGCTATCCTGCACAGATGACCAGTTTTTGAACTACCACAATAGTTTTCAATAACCAGGATTCAGACAAAGATGCCTAAAAAGTTTCAGACATCCAAACTAGCTGCATTCCAACTTAAATGTGGGTCAAAGGCATATGGCAACACAGTATCTACAAATCAGATGAAAGAGATATCTAAGTCAAACATAGGAAAGATTTCACATTTGAGCTATGTTAAGCTTCAGGTTTCAAAATTAAGTTTAAAAACTTAAATGTATACTTAGTAGAACACAATTACTAAACATTTAAAAATCACTCAGGTGCTTGACATGCTGATAAGGAAATCCAGTTTCAAATTATACCATGTTAGCAGTGGCCTATGATACAGTAAAATTTGACAGGTTAACATCACAAAATCATAAATTAATGATTTTGAATCCTTGTCTCAATAAGTGTAATCAGTGGTGAGTGCTTTTTCCCCTTTTGAAGTTGATGGCACAAACATGTAACTCAATATGAGGAAATTCTAGGTAATATTAGGTAATATTCTAATGTTTCAGGATGGTTTGCAATCAGCTGTTTCCAGAAAAAAAATCATAACCTAGAAAAAAATCAGGCAAGCCAGAAAACCACATATCAGGTATCTGATAGCCTTTAACTATTCCTGGAAATACTATTTCTTTAAGTATGATAAAATTACCTCAAATCTTAATTCCCACTCCCCACCCCTGCCCAGGGTATCTAACCCAGGGGCACTTTACCACTGAGCTTCATCTCCAGTTCTTTTTATTTTTTATTTTGAGACAGGGTCTCACTAAATTGATGAGGCTGGCCTGGAACTTGAGATAATCCCTTCTCAGTCTTCTGGGCTGCAGGATTATAGGCATGCACTCCCAAACCCCACACAATCTCTTTTCTTTTTCAGTGTACCTGACACGATATTTAACAAGAGATACAAAAAATATCCCCCAATGGTGTATAAAATATTAACATTCAGGTTTCGGCCTTAACTTTCCATGTTTTTTAGAGGATACTTAAACTCTGCTCTAAGATCTTCAAAAGACTTCTTACCACTTCAGATCATCAAGTCTATAAAAATTCCTCAAAAACTTCACCTTAAATGTCTGTAAATCACTTACTCACCTGGCTTATCTACGAGATTTAAAACAGCCTGGAGGTCGATGCATTCTGTCCTGCATGAAGACAAACCTGAAGTGGGCTGGATATTCCAAATAGAAGACCAAAATGGTGGGTGGAGATGAGGGTGGGAAGAGAAATGGAGAAGAGAGGAAGGGAAGATTAAGTGGGGGAAGAAAACTTGTCACTACCTCAACACTCAGTTGACTGCCATCCCTCACCTCTGTCCCTATGAATTGTGATTTGCCTACGAGTTTCACTCACAGTTACAAAGGACGGTACTGCTCACCGCAAAAGACATATGCCTAAATTCTCTGCTCCTTGGGGGCCCTAGGCAAAACAACTTGATGAGATTAAGGTTTCCCAGAGCCGGCATTTATTTCTCAGCTGACGCTGAAACAGACACTCTTTAGCTGGCCAGACCCTGGCAGGATTCATATTGAGGCAGTTTCTGAGCAAAAGAAAGGCAAAGTTGAGTAAAAGACAGGCAGGACCTTTACTGACGTCTGGAGGTACCAGCCAAGGCAGTTTGGCCCCCTCTCCCTCAGTCCCCCTCCGGCCACGCCCTTGCTTGACTGTCAAAGGGAAGGAACCAACACCTCTTCCATTTGACAGCAGGGAAACTCGGCCCCAGGGAGCGCTGGCTCATCTCGGTCGCGCAGGGAGGAATCCCGGAACCCTAGGCACCGGACTCCCAGGCCGGGCAGCCCGCCTCCGCTCCCACCCTGCCCCTTACAGCACCTGGCACCGCCCCCCGGCTCTGGTCCCGGGAAACCCCGGCAAGGCAGATTTGGGGACACCAAGGCCACCGGGAGAATGGGGGCTGCTCGCGTCCCCGGGGCCCCGGCCCGCGCACCTGCCGCTCTTTGGGCAGCTGGCAGAGCCCCGCCTCCAGGGCCTCTCGTGAGCGGCCTCCCGCGTCACCAGCCCCCACCGCCGGCCGGTGAGCCGAGCAGCGACCCGGAACCGCACGTCCCCCAGCGCGCCGGAAGTGCTGCGTGGGGTTGGCCTGCCGCGCGCATGCGCCAGTGCTCACCTCCGCAGCCTTGCGAAGCCGCCGGCGGCTGTTGGCCAGAACGGTCCGAGGGCACGGGTGGCGCGCTGGGCGCTCCCTGATGCGCACTAGCCACGTCAGCGAGACTCCAGACCCGCACTTGTTGACCGGCCCGCTTAGGCCGGTCGCTGTTTCTTTTTCTTTTCTTTAAATGGATGGTGCGGAGAGGGCTAAGTGGGAGGAGCCCCGTGCTGTCGGTGCCACGGGCCCTGCTGGACAGACCCCCGGCCTTGGCCACGCGGCGCGGCCGGGCGCCAGTCTGCGCCCCGTTCCCACTAACCCCCTATGCAGCCGCAAGTAGGCAGTCTGGAAAACCTGTGCCCGCAGAAACTAAAACTGCGCCTTGCGCTTTGTGACCCTTCTTCTAACTTCAGCGTCTCGACATCCCGTCGATTGTACGTTTTATGTCACAAYCCAGCACACACAGTATCTACAATCGAAAGGTTTCAGAACCTTCCCCTAGTGTGTATGCACTCTGATATACGGCTTGTTATTTACAGGGCGGTGACTATTCACCAATGGGCTGCCTCTTTATATAACAGAGGACAAAAGCCCAAAGCATAAAAACTGCCTTGTTGAAAGTCACTGCGAATTTAGTACCCTAAGGCAGGTCTCCAGATTCCTCAAAGCCGAGTTAGACTTAGACGCTGCACGTTTAAGGAACTTTGGTCCTGGCCCAGACCCAACACCAGTGCAAGTTCCAACAGATTGATTAATTGATCGATGGATTGATTTCTGGAACAGGGGTTTGAACCCAAGGGTAGTTTACCACGGAACTACATCCCCAGCACATTTAAAAAATTTATTTTGAGGCAGGGTCTAATTGATTATAGCCTCCTAAATTGCTGAGGCTGCCTTCCAACCTGCAATCCTGTCTCAGCCTCCCTGGAATTACAGGCATGTGCCAATCACTTGGCTCAAAAAAAAAAAAAAAAAAAAAAAAAAATTAAATACCCTTGCCCTAGTCCCAGTTCTGACCACCAGGAAAAGGCCTCAGAAAAATAAAAATTAGAATGCAAAAGATAACAAACTAGAATAAGCATGGAATCCACAACCCTAAGATAGTTCAAAGCATCTGAGGAGTCATCTAAAAGAAGCAACCCTAACAGTTTAGCACTTAAATAATCAACAAAACTGAAGAAGTACACAAAACTTTTAAGCAAATAATGTTTATTTTTATATTGATGATACACTTAATATATACGTGGATTCAAGATACAAAATTCATTTACAAGAGTTCACACCTGATGAATGTAATCACATTCCTAAAGAACATTTATCAATGCAAAAATTTCTTTAGTACACTGACAACAAAAATCAAATATTCTGTAGTTCTGTTATTTAATAAAACATAAAAACAACAATGTTTAACTTTCCATCCTCCAATATTTAAGTGCCCTCCCTTCAAGTGGTAGACACTGTATGAAAGGAAAAAACATGGGAAAGCCTATGGAATCTGCTCTGCAGAATCACAGTGTTTACTTTTAAATTCATTTAGTAAAGTAGTGAAAGGCTTGCTATCTTTTAGACAAATCACATATCATACAAGAGCCAAAAGTGAACTCAAGAAAATAAAATGCTTTAAGAACTTCTCAATTTCTAAAATCTATGAAGTATTAACTGTAACAGACAACGCAGAAAAAGGCTGCTGGAAATGAACAAAACAAAACAAAAATCCTTGTTTACAGAGAACATATGGCTTAAACAATTTAGAAACACCATCAGACAAGACTTGACAACACCACAAATGTTTAAGTCAAATGATATTGATGATATAATTTCCCCCTTAGTCATTGGTGAATAGCCCCTTCAAAATGTACTCTACTAACAACACACATTAAAAACTAATGAATCCAAACAATTTGCCTCTAACGGAGCTGAGTTGATGGATTTTGTTCTAGAGTATTAACCTACAATACCCAAATTTTAATACAAATGAACAACAAGACTAACTCTTAAGGACTACAGTGAATAGCTAGATAGGCAACCAAATAGCTTGATTATTTGCACGATAAGATTAGCAGCACTTGGATAAAGTTTGTTACGTGACAATTATTGTGCTTCAATCTCTTGAGGAGAGCTAATAGATATAACTCTAATCCTTATAGTGTTACAATTCTATAACATTTCAGTTACAGACAAGCACAATTTTTTAAAAAGTATTTCACACCACTAGAAAATCAAGTTAAGTATATCCTCCAAATGTAATTTCTGCTATGATTTAAACAAGTGCATTTCTCCCTAATATTCAAAGTGTAGACAATAGGTTCACCATTATTTTCTGCGAAAACAAAAACAAAACTTGTTCTCCTACTTGGTTAAATTAACCTTTAGTAATGCTTTGAATAAAGAAAAAGGATACTTAATTTTACAATGTGAACTGCTCATAGAAAATAAGTGGCCTGAAATTATAATATTCTTTACAGCAAACTAAAAAAATTATAACTGTTTAATCTGGTTTAATGATGAATGCAAGTCCTATTTATACTGGTGCTATACAAATAAAGATACCCTAGTTGGACAAATTCCTTCACTAATAAGCTCTACTATGAAAAAGTAAAGGACATTGTATCCGTGTTTCTTATTATCTAAGCTCTTCTACCTCAACTGGAAGAATCCTGAAAAAAATAAGACACTTTGATAGTTGAACAGCAAGGTTTATTAAAAATAAAAAATTGGAAAGCTAGTGGTAGGGTCTATGTGGTAAAAGGAATGCATCCAGACAACTATAAAGTCATGAAAATCAAGTTCTAAATTACATTACTGAACTATTACAAGGTAATTTTAATGATATAATAAGAGAATCCTTCAGGAAACAGGAATAAAAATTCTTATTGCACTACAACACTAAAAGCACAGTTTTCCTGCAGATTTTTTTCATATCACACTGGGTATGTTAAATTTAGAAAAAAAACATCAATAGCATATGCAGGAAGGTGGGAATAAATTTTTGAAAAAATACAGTGGTTATTTCTGTGATTTAGAAATACTTGGGGATTATCATATCATAAATCACTTCAGATTTTACAATGATTATTTATATTCATTTGGTGTTTAAAGAAAATTTATGATTCAATTTATGATATAATGTTTATACCTGTAATGCCAGCGATTCAGAAGGCTGAGGCAGGATCAAAATTTAAGGCCAGCCCTAGCAACTTAGCAAGACTCTGTCTCAAAATAAAGAGGGCTCAGCGGTAAAGTGCCCCTGGGTTTAATCCCTAATACCAAAACAAAACAAAACAAAACCTTCAATTTTGAATCAGGGACAAGTGGACATTCTCAAGTTTCAGATGATAAAATAATATTAGTGATAAATATAACATGTAAATACCTTTCACTGCCTACCTGTAAGAAGGCTAACCATAATTTCTAACCTCACTGGGAAAGTGATATAATAACCCAGCCTATTAATGTTCACTCCATAAGCCTGTGAGAAGAGCAAAAAAATCTGAAACCTGAAGTTACCCATRTTTCATTTTAAACAATATTATACCTGAAAAGATGATTGTCTTAGGATATAGACTGAAATTGTCCACTAAAATAGGAAAAACACTCCCTCTTTATAGTCTGTCTAGGACCAAATTTAGGCTTGACTCAGTGAATCTGTAGTGTGTAATGTAATATACATATTCATTAAAAAACTCTGAATCTACCATTCAAATGTTTCAGAAAATCACACTGCCTAGTCTACTTTTAAAATAATTTTTAAAACCACAAAGAAAGCAATAGAAAGATTTTAAAATTAAGAAATGGTGCTTCAATTAGTGATTAAGTGACAATTTCAAAATGGAAGTCTCAAGTCAATATTACACTGAACCTGTTGTGGTGTGAACTGATACATACAATCAATAAGAATGTAAGTTATAGGTTATAGATTAGTAAAAAATATAGATTATAGATATAAGATTTTGATAAGTGAGATAAGACAATTATAAAGCAAGAACTGTCACAGATAGGCCTAAGACTCCATTTTGCTGCCTTCTTAAACAAACAAACAAAAACTATTACAAGAGCAGTTTCTGAGAAACTGAAATGAAAGCTGTTCTCCCACAGAGCTTCAGTCTCTATGGGTTGGTGACATCCCTGGCCAGATGAAAAAGCTAAGCCCTCATTGATTTGAATTCAGACCTAAGAGTGTTTTTGGAAGCGGCTCTCCATAATATTCTGGGGGCTTGTCCAGGATGAAAGAGATATTTCTCATAGGAGAACACTAAGAAACACCCAGGAGAACCCAGTGAGCTGGAGACAACCTGGGGAAGGCCTCTGAGGTCCCCTCCCCATCGGCTCCTGCCAAATCTGCAAACTGACAATTGGGAGCACTTGCGATTTGCACTTGTGACTTAGTTCTCCTGGGAAAGGTAAGCTTGAAAGTTGAAACTTGGTTTGTGTGGATCCACAGTCTGGGGACATCAGGGAAGGCTGGATGCAGCACATATTTCCCAGTCCAGGGCAGTGTTGAGAAGCTGCTCACTGGCCCATCTGGGGTTAAAAACCCCAGATCAATTAGGCTTTTTTTTATAGCGCCTTGTCTGTTGTGTGTCTCATTATAGGTCAAAATCAGTCCACTTCATATTCATTTTGTACACCCCTTAAATGTTTATTTGTCTAACTTTAA